TACTGTGATGGAATTTTTAATAATGCATAACTCTGAATACTGATATTTACTGATTTTACGTGTTCGGCCTAGGTGATGATGTCATCCTTAAAGATGATCTAATATTTAGATGCATAAAAACTGTATTGACAATTGTTATTGGCACCTTTTCAATTGACGCCCACGCAATCTTCATTGCATCTACATACTAAGTAAATGCTAAAATATGTACTTATAATTTTATTTAATAATTTATTCAATATTTTTTATTTTTAAAGAAAATTTTATTGGTTTTTTTTATAGTTTTATTTCACTTGCAATGTTTGATTAGGATTTTAAATTTTGCACGCTGAATTATAATCCGTTCCTCCTAATCGATTTGCTAAAAAGCATACAACTTTGGTTCTGGCAACATTGTAATGTTTTTAAGTGTATTTTTAATAAAAAAAAAAATTATGCAAGCCATAATCTATGTTTATTTTAGAAAAATACGATTTGACTTAAAGATCTTACACACCATAAATTATATATAAAAAAAAGATTATTAATCAGTAAATGTATCAATTCTCCTCGTGTTTGATCATCGATAATAGTATTGTCTATTTTAAATTAAATGTATATATCGAAATTATTTGTTTGCTTAACCTATCATAATTAATTACATTTTAAAAGCCATTTAACATTATTATAAGCAATAGTTGTAGCTGTTAAGATAACGTAAGTACATATTCGGTTAATTTGGTATAACAATTTGCATTATTCGTTAATTACAGACTTGTATTATCTTTAAACAATGCATACCTATCTGTTTACTTTGTCTGCAGTATGTTATGACGATATATTTGTTCACAAAATTAGAATTTGGGGTTACAGCCATACACGGGTTAGCTTATCGTGACACGTAACTTTAAATGTATGTACGAAGATAAAGAAACGTTTAAATGAAGAACAGTTTACCCCTCTCTAATAATAGTGTTCCATTTTGAACTATACAGTTTTTGTATTAAGGTCGAAGATGTTATTATGATAGGGGTTAAGCGAATGCAACATGTTGAGTATTCTTAGAGGGAAATATTTTTAGAGCGCATAGATAGAGCATCTATTTATTACCTTCTCCTCTATAGCTTTACATTTATTAATATATATATAATTTATATTCAAATAATCTTTCAATAGCGTAATTTCATCGATAATTATTTTTGTAACGATAAAATTGATAAAAATCTAAATTGACTAAATGGATGTGACCAGTCACAGAAAACGTTAACTGTAATATTTTACAAGTTTTTGACAGATTATGGCCACTCTAATTATTTATGTTGTGTATATAATAGCCTATAGCATTTCCATAATAGATTCGAGTTGTTTAGGTCTCATTTGTTATGTAAAAGATCCGAATATACTACAAAGATACACAGATATTTATATATATCTTACATTCGAAAAAAAAATTGCCATTAAAATAAAACACTATAGAATCCTTCTGCATATTACGTGATCAATTTGTGAACTGGATTTTCATTTGACTGCATAATAAATAATTAAATTGTATTCCATAATATAAACCCACTTCAAGTGTGGCAAAACCAGTTATTCTGATTTAAAAACTAAAATATTGAACGATTTTGATTAAATTTCTGTGGGATCAATCTATAAGTAGATATTCTTTCAAGTAAAAGAAGAATTTCCCAAATCAGTTTACAATTGAAAGAGGTATAAAGTAACAAACTAAAAAAAAAAAATACAATCGACAGAACCTCCTTTTTTTCGAATTCGTTTAAAAAAAAAGTTTTTGAGTGTCGAATGTACTCGTAATTTTATGTCGTCTAAACTGCTCGACAGATTTTAATAAATGTGGTGTCGTTAGGATCGTTTTATTTGTGAGAATACGTTATGCAACACGACAACTCCATAAAATAAATATGGCGGCCATAAACTGTGAAAAACTAATTTAACAGACGGGTTTTTAACTTTTTAAATACGCCGTTAGGTTTGTGATACTCAGTTGCATAAAAACCTTAATCACGTCTACTTGTGAATCAAAGAAGGTTCAATCCAGATACACAAATTTTTAACATAGACATTTTTTTAAACTATATCTCAATTTTACAAGCTAAGTTCTCAAGTTTTAAAAAAATTAAATTTATTACTTTTTCTCCCATATAGGTCCCATAAAAATTTGTTAACGAAATATCTGGATTTGTTTTGAAACAGTTATGTGTATCTATATTTTGTAACTGGAAAAAATCCAATAATATTGCGTGAGACGGTGTCGCCACTTTCCGTGCCGACGAGACCGTTCCGCTTTTGTTGGCAGAAATAGATGGAGACGAACAAATGGGCATGTGATCACTGCCGTGTCGCCGCTTCCGGGATCCACGCACTGCTACGGTTGACTTTTCCATAGGTTGTCAATAAATAATTTAGTGTAATATGAATATTGAATAACATAAGCCTAGTTCGTTACAATAATAATAATTTAATACAGATAACTAGGATCCATAATACGTAGGTAATAACTGCTTCGATCCGAAACAGATTTAATAGCTTTTCATTAATTTGGTAAAAAAAAACTTTTATAAAAGTTATAATAAAAAATAAATAGGATATAAATAACAAATAAAATAAAAATAATAATAAACAGGAAATAAAAAATGGCTCCGGAAGGAAGAAATAGGATAATACGTGATTTCATTTTATAAACTTTCCCAATATATCATTATCCTCACCTAATGATCTGCGGAGATTAATTAACTTTCTTCGCGGATTATCCAAAAACATAAATATAAAATTTTAATACTAGGCATATTTTAGAATGTAAACAATTTTGGGATGTCTTATTGTGAAAGTTCGTGATTAAGACTTTTTAAATATTCCGACAAACTTCTACTGTTACTGGTATTGTTCATGTCTATAGACGACGGTTACCACTTTTCATCAGGTGAGCCGTCAGATTGTTCGCTATTCTAAGTTGAAGAAAAAAAGAATCGACGTAAATTGCATGTAGGTAATTCGAATCGAAAAGTATGTAGTTGTTTTAGTAATCCTACTAGATATGTATATGATTAAAATAGAATATACTGAATTGGGTTACATTCATTCAAAAATCTATTTCGTATATGTATTCAAGGCGCTAGGTTTAATATTTTGTTTAAAAAAATAGCAAGATCAATCATGACCAAACCTATATGGAAACCATACTGGGATAAATCTTATTGAATGCAAACAAGATCATTTAAAATCTCTTCCAAATTGGTGAAGATATCGTGTAAGTAGCTATATATGTACAAAAAATACAGGCGAATTAAGAAATTCCTTTTTAAAATCAATATTGTACGGTCAGCATCAAAAATGATGGAAAATTAAGATTTTGAATTCCCTATACTCTGTGATACACGTCTCATTCTATAATATTCAACGAATTTTGGCTTAAAATGATATTTATCAAGTTCTGGTTCTAACTTTAATAATCAACTTATGTATTCGTATTTTGGGCATATGGAGATGTTGAACGATTGATGCTGACTGTACTTTTTTATGGATCGTATTTAATGAAAATAAATTTGGATAACGGCGAGGTGAATGCAACCAAAGCACCCAAGGGCTGGCCTTGATCGCGACCGAGATTATGGCGTTCGTTTCAAAACCGGTTGTAAAAACCGAAGAAATCCGACGAATTTTTTTGCAAGAAACAGGACACTCGGTGCTTGCTCACTGCTCCGTGTATAATACAATTGCATTATCCTGTCATGTAATTTTATATCTTTTTCGATACCAATAAAGTTTACTTGATTGATTCGTATTAAAAATCTGTATATTTTCTGTATAAGAAATATTATCAGAACGATAAATAGTAAACGCTTATTATAATCGAGAATATAAAATGTGTTACCGACTCTTCCTTCCCTAAATAACATTAAACAAAATACATTTTATGCAAAAATATTTCAAACATCGAAAACTCACCTATGTGAGCATTTGTTTCACATCATTATCCAATAATTAAAAAGTGAAAATTAAAACTAGAAACAATAAGAATAAAAAAAAATGGCTAGTGTTTGTCATTTACGTGAAAGAGTATACAAATCACCGTGAGGTGCCGGCATAGAATAGGCCATCCTTTCCTTTCACATGAGTGTCGTAAGAGGTGACTAAAGAAACTTTTGGTCAAGGGATAGGAAGCAGTGTATTTCTTAACACATCCACAAAGACCTAACTGTGTTAGTCAACCTGCCTTCCAAGCGTAGCAAAACCCCCTCCTAATTATGAGGGAAGCCTAAGTTAGCGGTGGAAAATAAATGGCTGATATAGTATGGTATACAAACGTCATGCCATCTTTCGTTTTACTCTACAAATCATAATTAAGATACATATGCTTTTTTGACAATGGAAATGTTTCGATCATCTATAAAAGCTTTACGTATCGCAGGAACACGTAAATCACAAACATCACTATTTGGCTTCTAATATATATTCTGACGCTTTAATTTTTCCCCTATTTTGTATGGCTGTTTGCCACTTTTGTATTATAAAAAATGTTTTGTAGCTTATAAAATTGTCTATTATTTCGTCCTGGTAGATTTTTTTTTTTAATATTTTTGATTATATTCGTTTAGTTTAGATACTTGTTTATTATACATGATATATAAATATATAGTATTCTATTAGTGGCAGTGAATATATCTTATCCATTGACATAGTATAACACTGCAGTGTAAGATAGTTATCATACTGTGTTATAACGTACTAAGATTTTATCTATTGTAATAATTTAAAGCTCCCCACACTATCTTGACAGACGCACGTCTTAAAATGAGAAGCTATTTTTTTATTGTCATGTGTTTTTGGTAAAAATAAAAACAAGTGCCACAAAAAATAATCAGTTTCACTGGCTGAATGAACACCTTAAAAAGATGCGTACGTTTTCTATTTCACCCAGTATATGTTTTATATCGGCTTATTAAAATCAGCACAAAGTTTTAACAATTAGCTATGTACTTATATGGGAAACGTGTTCTTACCTCTGATATCTCTTTGTAACGAGGCCGACAGAGACCCACCGGCTAAGGCCGCGTCCAGAAGGTTGATATTTTCACGGCATCGCGTTACTATCTCCGTCTGTGCACCGAAAAACACCTAATTTGCATATGTTTAAAAACGAATGCATTCATCAGTAATCTTTTTAAACATAGAATCATGTTATTGATAACCAATCTTGTTTTAACACTTCAAACTTCTTTATATCTTCAATAAGGAAACACCAGGTGTATATCACTAATAGAAAATCTTTATAACATGCATTTAGGAAAGAAAAATTAAATTTTGCTAACATGCTTTACTCTATTTCATAAATTTGTTTTTGTGTACGTCAGTCTGCATAATCTGTTTTCTCTTGCTGCTTTATTTCGTATACAATCTTGCTATGCTCTTTGCAGAAATAACGGTGAATAAATGAAACAAATTGCAAAGATAAAACTATTGTTATGTTAAATAATTATTTGTTAATATAAATTCATACGTAAAGATCTTATTTTTAAGTTACAAATTTCTTTATTAAGACATATCAAGATTGCTTACCAAATAAGACAAGAAGGAAAAAAAGATTACAGTAGGTATGTTATTATCAGCATCTTTTTTTATTCATAATAAGTACCCAAGCTTAACAAAAACTAATAATGCCAAACACAGATTAGAAAAGCTTTCAATACCCAAATAAAAGAAAAATTTTGAATTTAACATGTAACAACCCCTATAACAATTAAATCCATTTTTCATTTTTTTCTAAAATTTCTAGTTGATAGAGAAGGGTGTTAATTGACTGAAACTCCATTTTTAATTTTCAAACTGACACATTTATTCTCTAAACATTTATACAAAGATCACTATGTTTTTAACATTTTATAAAAAAAATAAGATCAATTAACAACCTAACTCCTATTCAACACATGATTAGTACAATATACTTCTAGAATATATACTGTGAGATTATGCGGAGTTCAGTCAAATCACATTTACATGTACACAATATTTGCAAAGTGAATTCTTATATAAAAATACAACCAGAAGTAGATAACAGAGCTACTATCTAAAGTAAATCTATATCACTCAATGACAAGAACTCACATATTTATTTGAGGTACATATTTTTATAAATTAATTATTGGTTAGTTTCTACCTGTGTGAAACCCCCTTTATTACCGAACGTCAAATGAACTGTCTGTCAATTTGACATTTCAACTTTTTTAGTTTTTTAGTGGCACTGGTAACTTCAAATGGTTCCTAACCGAAGCGTTTTGTCTGTACCTATATATAATTATTATTTACTTATTTCATTAAATGAAATATATATTATATAAGTTAGACTTGGTCTAGCACCGAGTTATCACCACCAAAAAGAAAGGAGGATTATAAAAAAAAAAAAAGAATAATAACAAGCAGTTAGTATAGGCTACGATCACAATCACACGGAAAACGAAAAAAAAAATGTTAGTCGAAAGAAAAAATCAAACATTTATTATATGAAAATGAAAACTAAAATATAGAGATACGTTGATAACAGAGATGTGAGCTCGAAACAAAAACAGTTTCACTCTGCAAGTAAATATTTTTTCAAAAAAAAAAAAAAATATATCGGAACAGAGAAAAACTGTTAGATGATCCTAAATATTTAATTAATAAGTTAGTGTAAATATTAGATTAATTTGATACGATCGTCAGCGGTAGTAATCAAATAAATGCTAATCATTTGTACAACTTACAAAACTAAAATGATTGAAAACTTTGGAATGTCTGTAAGGAATGATTGCACTGAAATATTAATTTATTTTTGATTATGTTTATTGTATATATATGTATTATTAAAATGATGATGATAATTTCATAAATTTATTTTCAATACAATAAAAAGAAAATTTAACTAAATGCTCGTAAGGCATTTAAATAGAAAACATATGGACGCAAACGTGTGCGGATGTTATCTGACGATCGCAGCAAGCTTTATGCGTATACTTACATAAATAATAATAAATATCACACAAGCCCAAGCCAAATGTCATTGTAGATGTATGTAAACTATTACTAAAATCGAGAATGCGGCTACTGCCAGACAGATTCTAGCACGCAAGCATGCAGGGCGGCGTGTGGCGCACGCGGATAACTCGTCCTCCGCCTCGGTATAGCTACTACTGTAATCGATATCGTATTTGGTCCTTACGTAGTCGAAGGCCCGGAGAAGGTCAGGGGAACTGTCCTGCCGAGCCATCACCGCCTCCGCCGCTTCCAGCTGCGAACTCGAGCGCCTGACCAGCGATCGCACTTCCTCCGACTCCGAATCCGAATCTCCGTCCCAGTTTCGTCGACTGTGCTTCTTAGGACTCGACGACTCGTCTTCCGAGTCCGCGCTTTCGGTCGAACGCCGTCGCAATTCCGACAACGCGACCTTTTGAAGTTCCGTCTCGCCGTCTTTTTCAGTTCTTCGCCTTCTGTTCAGCGAGTCCAAGATATCTGGGCGATTATTTACATCAGTATACTCCAAGGAGCTGTTCACTTCATCGCTAGTCAAGTTTGAGCTGGGACGCCTACGGCTTAGAGCTTGGACGTTGAGCAAGTCGAATTCCGGTGACCGTTTGCTATTCTTTCGTTCACTCTCTGATGGTCTACGTCTGCGAACGCCATCGTTGCTCTCGATACTTGTGTTGTTCCTGGATCTTTCTAAACTATCAAGTAAGGACTTCTTGCGTTCGGCACTGGACATAGACTTTTTGGGTTTTCTCGATGGGGTTTCGACGGGGGATGACCTTGTTGGCCGTTTGTAGCGAGGCAAGCTTCGTTCTCTGGAGACGTCAGAGGGCGGGCGTCGACGACGGGTACCGCTAGGACTCAAGTCGTTCTCGGGCTGTGCCGATAGGCTTGAACAGCAATCGGATTGCGAGTCGAGGAATGCTCTGTAATCGTCGCCGAATTCGAGCAACCGCCGCGCTGCGTCCGAGTCCGGCGCCTCGGAATACGGTTCAGAATTATATTTCTCCTGGGAACAAATTAGCGATAACGTTAATACTATCTTATATTGTAACGAACTTCAAAAATTTTATCGAGACTTTTTATTTAATACCTAATATAAGTAGGGTTAAATTGCCGAGATAAACCGCTTGGGGTATCTGCTTAATTGGGCTTGAAATTATATACGTATTTCATCATATATCTTTATTAAGACCTTTTATATAATACACATATTGAGGGTTGTAACTGCAAACTTGTTCTGCTATTTTAATGATACTCTATACGTATTTCCTGTATGAATAACCTTTTTAAATAATAGACAAAAAATTAAAGAAATATGTAGATGGTCCAACAGCTGATGGCACAAAATAAACCAGAGGGTTTGTCATGAATCTTTACAATTTGACAGATATATATTAAAATGACTTAACCCGCAGATCGGCACTAAAATCATAGAATTAGGGTTCCTGCAATAAATAAGTAAATAATAAAACAGGCCAGTTTGTAGTCACGTGATCTAAATATGTCAAGTTTTTAAAAGTTCTTCAAATATTATGACTAACCTGATAAAAGTCCCACGCTTGTTCTGAAAATGAGCTGTGTTCTTCCGTGCCTGCCGTCACACTCTTGTCTATATCAGAATCTTTGTCCATACTTAGATCCCATAAATCACTGGGATCTCCTAAACTCAAAGCGAGGAAGGACCGCTCCCTGTCTATGCTCCTTGCTAGCCTAGTTCTCACTTCACCACCAGCTGGACCCAGCTTGAAGCTAGGTAGAGTCTCAGGCTCTGTCTGTTCTGGAATGGCACTTTCTGGTTCTCTACTCGATATATGCGTCTTCTCTATGCTCTTACGGAGGTTTGCAATGGTCGCCAATTGTTGTCGTATTAGTTCTTCGTCACTGTCGTTGCCGGATGTTGATGTTGTATCAAATCTGTGGGATAATTATTTATTTGTATTGTGCGATACTTTTGAATTGATATTTAGTCTTAATTAACTGATATTTACGACATATATATATATATATATATATATAATATATATATATATATATATATATATATATATATATATATATATATATATATATATATATATATATATATCATACATATATGCTACTATATATTTCTAGAAAGTATGGATATTATAGATGAAATAGTAGAAGAAGCACACAGTTAGTCCGAATAGACTAATTGCAATCTTTAAATTCTGCAAAATTCTAGTAATAAGTTTTCGCCTTCTGGTAGATGCGGGTTCGATTCCTGTACAACACAAATATTTGTATTTACGAGTATGTCTGTATTATAGTCTATGCGCTGTCTAATACATCAAGTTATAGACGTATTTAAGAAGGGGCCGTGTGGACAATGCCCATTCCAAAATGCGCACGCAACTCTCAGTTATGCGTATACCTACAGTACAAGTTTAGTCTGATTCGAAATGCTATTGTATGGAATATAAAAGATATTTTTTTTTTTTTAGATGTGTACTAACCGACTCTTCCTACTGGTAGCTGGGTCACTAGCGGCACTCCTTTCATTCTTATACTCAATCTCAGGGCTGAGTCTTCCGCAAAAAGAGAGTGACTTGACCAGTTTTTCTCTCCTGATTGCTGTAGTGTTATGGCGTCGTAGTTTCAATCGCTTTCGACGTAGCCAACACTGTTTGTCGTTGGTTTCGACGCACGACGTGCAAGCTTCCGTCATCGTGTTTGTGCTAGAGACGTGGCCCTGGGGACATAAAATTAATTTTAAATCCTCTGAAGTTTCTAGAGACATTATAACACACTAGACTTTCTTAGATACAGCTGAGTTGAACGAAGTTGCTGACATTTGAATACAGTTGGTAGGGAACAACACTACGGTCGGTCTCTAGCATTAGTTTTGCTACCGAAGTTTTTTATTAGCGATTTCTGAGTCGGCCATATTTGAACTCAAGATGAGATAGTAAAGCACTAGACCACGATGTCCAATTAAAAAATCTAGAACGTTCTATAAAAAATAATGTTATGCTGGTTATTACGATACAAGTTAAGGCCATTAATCACCGGTTTATACCTTCGCGAGTTCGCAATTAAAGACCGGATAATTAAGATTAAATAATTACCAATCATTGATTTAAAATAATAAAACAATATTTTTATACGTTTAGTAAAATACAGTCGTTAAAATTGATTTATTTTTGTTTATTGTACGTTTCGATCACGCGTATTCGTGTTAAAACTTAATATAAATTACCTTGTTGTTTCGTTTTATACCTATATAACAAAGCAATGAGCAACTTATTGTTTTTAAACAAGGTTATTGGAAGAAGTTCCGGGTTTATGCTCGTAAAAAAAAAAAAACAGATAATAAAAGTATCTAATTGTTTTAATGTTTTATGTGTATTACATTCACCACGGCGACGAAATGCTTACATATTTTTGGATTTTTATACCCTAAAATTATCCTATTGGATATATTACTGTAAAAAACTCTGTATTATTTCAGATCGTCTGTTATTACGTGATTATGTATGTATGTACATATGATGTTACACATTTAGTTTTCCAGCAATCTTTTTACCAAATGAATATATGTGTATATATATTGAATATGTTAATTCCTATAATATGTGAGGATAACCTTTCCTATAATATGTTAGAAACCATTACCGAATGGTACATTGTGTTATCACAATTTACAGTGCATTATATTTATAATGAATCAAAATTATTATGTTAAATATGTATGTACAGTCTTTAGCAAAGGTTGATTGGTAATGTAAGTACTCAGTAAAACTAAATTACATTATTGTCTTATATTGTACTAGATGTGCTTGAATTTTTAGCTTTATGTCATTATATAAACAAAATAAACTGGTGATTCACCTGATAGGAAGGGTAACCGTTGCCTACAGACGTGAACAATAATATAGACATAAAATATAATAAGAGGTACATAGTATTAAAAACTATGCGGGGTATCTACATGCGTTGCTATTCCTGAGGACTAAAGTCTATTATTTCTGCATACCCTATAATTTGGGAAGGTAGTCATTATTAATAATGGGGACTACCAGTCCCATTGCTAGCAATACACCCTGTCCGGTCGCCCTTCACATGGAAACCCCAGGGAAATCATCGTGCTGAATTCCAGGTATTTTCATCACAATGGGCTAACTGACCTAGATATTCATTTTCACTTATCATCCTTCACTGGTGCCCCGTAAGCGTATACCGATAGCGCAGACGGGGTTACCATTCCATTATCAGCCATTAAAAAAAAACCCCTTTAATTTAATTACATCCTCAAACCTATTCTATCTGCTATTTCGCGGTAGAGATAAAAGTGAGACAGAGGTACCTATGCTTTTTTTAATCCGATCATAGTATTCACATTCAATCAATTTTGGTAAAAAATATGGAAGAACTAATTTGCTAGCAAAAATCCAAATGAAGAGATTGTCAATTGATAATGTGTTATTGCTTGCCTTAACCATAACAGAGCTAGAACTGGTGAATTGGGGTGTTTAATTTAGTGCTTTACATACAGGTCTGTAATCAAATAACATGCTCATTTCAACAATGCGGCGTCCAGAGACGTGAAACATGAAGATTAGCCACAATACCTGTACAGTAGTAGAACTTCCACGGAGTTTCGAGTTAGAGTTAGCCGGTGTGACCCTTTGAGGCGATGCGAGAGTGTTCAAAGCGGATTCTGATATAGACATGTTGTGCGACATAGCGGCGACGTCGCCGGCGGTGGGAGTTGCGACAAGCGATGCGCCGTTGCCGCTCAGCTGCGACAAACACGAAACGGACCACGGCCGCGCACTGTTGCCGCCCCGTTTCTTGCGTAGTTGCACCTGATTTATAGTTACACCTCAGCCCGGTTGTTATGGTGATTGTAAGTATACAAGTGATTGAGTGAGACAGATATATGATTGGTATTATATTAACGAAGTTATATGAGTGAAAGAGACAAAGAAATAATAGCCATAAAGTATTGTACTTTAGTTTTTAATGTCTGGTATTTTCATGTTTAATAACGGAAAGATTGTACAATATAGTTGCTATGAAAATTAAGCGTTTGGATGATATTTGTGTCGGCACATTCCATATTCTTCGACTAAAATTTACAATAAAAACAAATTGTTATTGACAAACACGCGAAGCAAACGAAAAATTATCGTGAGTATAAGCATTAAAGTATATTTTACCTTGGCATGGTGTGTTGGGGTGACCGTACAGGTAGATGTGCTCATATCCATTGAAGAGTGCAGGTTTCTTTCTTCGGAAGTAAGTGAGGTGTCGACTTCGCTCTCTGTTGTATACTCACCGGACGCGTCGTAGCTCTCTGTACACTGAAATATTGACATTAAAATTTTATGAGACAACCTATGAAAGCTCCAGGTGTTTAAGAGGCAAGTGGCACTTCATTGTTTCTGCCGCTATATAAATTATATAGGTTTTTTTATGCAACTTGAAATGGCAAACAAGCTGACAACCAATCTCAGAAAAATGGCAACTATCATCTATAAACATGAACTTACATCATGGGTATCTTAGAATACACCACCGTGGCGCTTATATTGTACCTCTTATTTTGCCAATTTTGAAAACTAATGTATTGTCAAATTGGCATTCAAGCATACATTTTTTTTTTCGGAAATCCCTAGAAAAGTAATATGTTTTAACATTTTGCTTTGTCTGATGCTAGTATTTTCCTTGTATTTAATTGGTTATTTAACCGACATTATTTTTTATTATAATATAATATTTTTTAGTATATATAATATAGATAATATGAATATTATATGTATGTCATTTTTAAATGACTGTTTTTTATTAAATATATATTATTCATTACGTTTTCCCGTCAATTAAATTGTAATTGATCAATTATATTATTATTATTCTTGTAATTGTTGTTATTGTAAAATTTTTACATAATTTACATTGCCTTTAAAATATTTAATATACATATATTAATTGTTTATTAGTTACTATTATAATCTTTTGGAGGAAACAATAAAGAGTATTTATCTATCTATATTTTTGTTATTCCTGTCTACGGTCAACTGGTAGATAAAGTCATATGGTGTTAAGTCCGCCATTACACTATCCAGGTGTATCAAAATTTTATAAATAAATAAACAAGTATAGCACCTCCATACTTTCAGTATCAACCTCATAATTGAAGTCAAAACAACCATGCAAGCATAACTAGCGACAGAAACAATAGTGGACAATGCCCATACATATTCTACAATGTTATCCTCAATAAAAAAAAGACAATAAAAAAATAATATCATAAATAATTAAAACACTGCAAAATACATTAATATCATAATTCCTATAATTGCCTATTTTTACTTTCACTTACCTGATTATTATCGTTCTTCCCATCCGAACTCTGATTTAACCATTCTTTAATTCGAGACATCTTTGTTCTGTTCACATTCTTTCCATCTTCCTCGAACATCAACGGCTTAAAGCTCCTTGATCCCTTCTTTTTCGCCATGTGCTGAGCTTGTTTCTGAACCAATTCCTCCGCTTGTATTACTAATCTCTCGATATCCTTACATCTAGCCTGGTCGAGTTTTAGAAGGTCAGGTGTAGACGACTCAAGTTTCGGCTTGGGTGATGGTTGTCGTTCTTTCTTTTCCTCGCAAGGCAATTCACACTGAATTTCTACAGATGACGTCATTATATCGGTCGAGTCTTCATTTGCTATCTTGGTCCCACCGACGTACGTCCATTCCTCTTCTGATGACTCTTCTTGCGACTTCTCATCAGTTTCAATCATTTGTCTATCGGAGTCTGTGTCGTGGTGTTTGAAGTAGAAAGTGGCACAATTCTTGGACTTGCGATCAGATTGATTGAACTTCGAAGTGTCAACTGGTTTTTTCCTTTTTATAACTGTTGGTGGAGTCTTCATTTTCTCTTCTGTCGCCGCGGTGTGTACGTCTAAGCCTACGACAAAAAACTGATGATTAATCATCAATGAACAGACAGCGATTGTTTATTTGTTTACACAAACGTTTCACTATTGCAGCCAATCAACATGCGATTGTTTTTCAATTCGATTCAGTTGCGAGAGCTGTTTGAATGATTTCTTTCGCGAGTAATGTAAACAAATTCATTCACGAACTGCTAATAATGAATTTCTTTAGCATTTATAAGTACACTGGTTATTTTATATGTAATTGTTAGAAGTACTTTGACCACATTTATTATCAGCTTACAGTCTACTGCTGGACTCTAAAGCTCACCCAATTTTACAAGTTCCCGCATTTTACGCATCCAATTATTCACATCCCTTTACACTAAACTAAATTGTGTTTAAATTACGCGAATCGAACTTGGCAAGGGGCAAGCTTCTGTTTTTATAAAAGACTTGGAGTGGCAAAGGGCTGTCAGCCTGCCTAATGGAAACGTTGCCTTAGACATGAAGCTATATAGACGCAGAGGTATATATAGAGACAGCTTTATGCAAATTCTCCATCTAATAATGTTTGTTAAAATTCTCGTAGATTGGATATATTTATATAGCTGTCTCTGTCGTAAACTATACTGACTTCACTATATGATATGAGACCTAGTTTTTATTTGAAAATTACTTCTTGTTTTTTTTTTACTCTTTAGGAAGTGTATGTGGCCCAACATCCTGCCTCAAATAGACTAACTAACCATCAATCTGGTCTACTGTGACCGGCACAGTCTGGTCGGTGGGTCTGGTGCCGACGTCGTCGCATGCGCCGGGCACTCGTCGCTCGTCCGCCATTTTATTATTTGGGATTCTCACGAGTTCCGATTCGCAGTCCGATCCGAAACCGCGCCAAGTGTACGTTAGCACATATTCTTGTTCCTCCTGAAAATAAACGTATATGACATTTATATATATTTATGACATGACATTATATTTAATATTGATTATGCTTCGAAAAAAAAAATACAATAACAGTATTTTCTACAACAGTGTTTAATGCGTAATAGAGTTTGCTATAAATTAAGAACTTTTGTAACGTCACGTTACTAGTATAGAATTGATTCACAGTCAAAGCAAATGTCGTAAACACCAAACATATACAAACGTAAGCTTATAAAAATCCTTGCATATATGTAGTAAAAAGATGAACACGGAGTTTTAAAAATAAAAATTAATAAAGTGGTAACCATTATATATAGACATAAAATATGCACACCATATAATACCTACTTATCTACTTTATCATCTAAAATTACCTGCATTCTAGCAAAATAAATTAATTTAATTTCATTACTTAAGTCAATAGTTACTATTTCTGAGGACTAAAATATTATGCCTTCGTGCCCTGTAATTTTATTGCTATATCCCACCCTTTAAACCGCAAAACAACCAAACGAGCACAGATACATCGTAAACACGAATGTAATACAGATATCCAACATACCTCAGAGGCGGACTGTCTGCTATCAACCGATAGTTCCCTGCGGCGTCGCGGCGCATTGACCGGTGTTCTTTGTCGCCTCGGTGAGCCCCGGCTAAGCCTTGGTGAGCCGCGGCTGAGTCTCGGCTGTTTGAGGGCGGGCTCGTCGTCACTGTCGCTTGCGGCTTCCACTGACGCCACACCCTGCAAAATCCAAATCGTTTGTTGTTATAATTTCACTATGTCTTCTCATCGGCGATCTTGTAAAGGTAAACGCAGTGGAGAGACGGCCTTAAATGTAGCGATAACCTCAAATTATGTTAATTTTGTGTTTTTGTTAGACTACCTTAAGTGCAATTAAAATAGACGAATAGGTAGGTAACCGAAGCGTTGATAACATGCTTAAAGTGGGGGGAAAGGGATTGTCAGTAATGGAGTTTAATAGCCCCATTGTTAGCAATTTGCCCTATTAGGTCGACCTCCACGTGGTTCCCCCTGGAAGCCATCGTGAACAATTCTTATTAAATTCGTCACGATGGGTTAACTGACCTGCTTCATCCTCACCTATCATCCTTCACTGGTGCCCCACCGGTGTATACCGTTGGCGTGGGTGGGGTTACCATTCCATTATCACCCATTAAAAAAAAACATGCTTAAAGTAATGCATAAGTCATAATTTTGAGAAAATTTATAGAAATTGTATTCGTCGAATTGTGTGTTGTGGATTTATAATATTAAATATTTTAGAATCAGTCAGTCAATCAGTCTTTTATTTTTTTAATTACCAATTTTATTAATACCATCATTTACGTTTATTATTTCACACAACCAGAGAAAGAGACATCTTTTTTTATATAAGGTTTTGTGAAACCAGAGACAATACAGATTATAATACAAATGTCACAGACTATTAATAAATAAAACTGAAGTATTACCTATTTTAAATTAGAAATACAAGATGATTTATGGCACCTAGTACTAGGAGTATATGTGTGATCCCATCTATGTTTTATCAGTTATCAGTTTTGTATGTTTTAAAGTATATGTATTGTTATATGTATATGAGTATAAAGTTTGTTTCAATAAAGTTCCAAAAATATTATTGATGATTTTTATGATTTTTTTTATTAGTTGTCTTATTTTTGAATGGCAACTCCTGCATTTTTATTTTTTTATTAGTGTGTGCTCTCTCTCTTGTCTCTGGTTTCTTTTAAGAAAATTAATCTTGTTTTAAAAGAAAAATAAATATTTCAAAATATTGTTCGCTGTTTTTATAAAAAACACCACTTCGCTTTAATAGAAATTTACATCATGTATATGTACTAATAATCGCATCCCAATGTATTAATTTATAAATATGTATACTTTTATTAAAAAATAAACACACATCTTTTATGTTATTAATGACAATTAATAATGAGTTACTGCATACACCCGAGGTATTTGTAAACACACTAATTAAATAAGCATATAAAATTCAAGATTTCACCACATGGACAGCATGGAATGATTTACATATTTATAATCGCTCCTAGACGTCAATCCACACAAATAGAGCCGCGGGCAACAATTTGTACTTACTCTATACAATTCTCATATATGATTGACAAGTAATCTGTACCGTATCATCATTCCGTATGAGTATTTAATTGTATATTTTCTGATGATTGTAGACGCTAGAACAATGCGTCATAATTTACATACAAAAGGAGGTATGATCTATTGAATAAAACCACCATAAAGCTCACTCGTAACTTTCATTCAGTGCATTTAACAATGTCCATTCATAAATTAATTTATGATTAATAAATGTCATTTGAAAAATAATAAAGAAATTTATGACCACTATATGATATGATGAAATAGCTCGGTACTACAATCCCATGTAAACACAAGGAAAGTAGGTCAAACAGTTTCCTATAGCAACAAATCATAAACAAATCCCACGTGATTTCAATACAAAATTTATAGCACTAGACACACGTGGCCCAACCCTTTTGACTAGGAATATATTTTAAAAACGGCCACTATTAATATTTATGTGGTCAAATTGAATGTGGGATAGGGTGAAATGGAATTAAAGGTTAAATTGTCTCTTCTCAAAAGTTGTAGGGTTTTATTTAATTGTCTAAAAGTATTGGGGGATTCTAAAGTGGTAATTTTATACGCCACTTGGGGTTATGTTTGCAAACAGGGAACGACGGGTGGCTGATTGTACTATTGTGAACTATGGGAAACTGCAAGAGATTCTTTGAAGTTTTGTAATATAGAAAGTTAAGAGGAGTGCGAATTGTCACACAAATTACTTAAATCGGTATTAGGGGATTATACACGTGTCCTAGAATTAAAAAAATCTTAATATGTTGATAGTCTATGAAACTCCCACGAATGAAACGGAGTTAACGTCACGTCAGTAAATAACATTATTCAAACCCTGTAAGCTACATATTTATATGCATTAAAAAACATTACGATATTTTGTTTAAAGTCGGGTAAATAAGAAAATATTAACTTTTGGACTTTGAATCTTAATAAACTATGTCACTAGATAGTACTATCACATGATATCACACGTTAGATATACATTTTTATGGATGAAAATGGAATTGTAACTCCGCTGACAAACCGAAAAACTAATAGATTTACTCAAGCGTGGTACCAATGAAGAGGTGAGATGAAGTCAGGTCATTCGGTCTCAGTTTCAGAAATGTTCCCTTCCACGAAAGCTTAGGTTATAGAACGCGTAAAGAGGTTTCTTCAAGGCAACGTGCGCGTAATACCCCTGGTATTGCAGGCGTTCATAGGCTACGGTATTCGCTTACTATCAGGTGGGTCATTGGCTTGTTTATCACCTCAGTGGTATAAAAAAAATGGGCAATTGGCACGTCGCCTCATGAATTCACCCGAATAATTAATATAATGATTGTTTACAAGAGAAAATCACAGGATATACTGCTTTTATATTTAGATGCATTGTTAGCAAGGTATATCTAATTAATTCTAGAATATCCGAATTCGAATTTTAAAATTGTTTATTATGTGAAAAGGTTGTCTAAATAATATGTACCTGATTATTGATCTTAGCAAGGCACGCCTCTAGATGGCACTGCCACTCGATGGCTCGCAGGTAGAGGAGATGCCAGCGTCGTTCTAGCGCGCGCGCTACGTCGCCACCGTTGCAGAGACGCACCACCGAACTCACGATCCGACCGTGGCATTCCACGTCGCGTTGCAATACCTGAAACAAAATAATACGATATAGATGTTGAAGTATGGATGTAAGTAGATCTATAGGGAAACAGTCATTATACAAGTCGATAAAATCAGTATTCGACTTAAAAGCACTTAAAGAAGATACCTATGCACTGACGACAGAAATGGTGGTAAATTGTTTAGAAACCTAATTTCGAGTAACAGGATAGCGGCAGAGAGAACAATAAAATCAAGGGGGTTTCTCTCTAACTTACACAGCTCCCATATTGCATAGATAGATACTCTTTATTGTTTCCTCCAAAAAAAAATCACAATATAAAATATATTCTAAAGAAACGCCAAGTTAGAATACTCGAAATCAACGAGCCTAGTATTGAGTGTATGAAAGCTGTATATTGTTATATAGTATTAAATGAAAGTCTATCCTTTGCTTACTCGAAAAAAAAAACGTAACTTTATTGTAATAATGATATTGTCACTTTTGTATTAGGCACTGTATTCGAATGTATTTATAACAAATAGTGATTGGTTACTTAAAATTTTAGGGTATTACTGACTACGATAAATGGGTACGTGATGCGCAGGAATGAGGAGCATATTTTAAAAAAAGTATTAAGATTGAAAATAGATGGCTATAAGAGCAAAGGAAGACCTAAAAAGGCATGGATGGATTATGTGAAAGACGATATGACCAGAATGGGAGTGAATGCGGAAATGACTGGGAATAGAAAAGAATGGAAGAGGAAAACATATTATCACGACCCCAAATAATAATTGAGATAAGGGTAGGAAGAAGAAGACTGACTACGACAAATAAATGTGAAGTATAGAAAGGATTCTTGTTTGTAGTTTAACGATCATTCACAGTCTTCAATAGTATAACACACAATATTTGCAGATGATTCAAATAACATTGTTGTTGAAATTATAAACATTAACCCTCTTATTTATTATTCAAAAGACAAAACACTTCAATTGGTTTAATCCGACATCTGACGTTTTTATGAATAAGAGAGTAACTATTTTAAAATTTATTTGAATGGTAATAAATTTCCTTAAACTTTATTATATATAACATAATCGTAATACTCGGAATGTTTAGGATATGTTCTAGATATTAATTTGATTAGAAACACTAATAAACACGAAAACAATTATCATGGTGATAATAAATTATTAGGTAATAAAATTATGTGTAAAAATTAATGTTTATTCATTCGATTTAAGTAATTTCAATTTATATTTTTGATTGCCGCATATTATTACCATAATGATAAAGTACGGCGGTTGTGAGTGAACATTGCGTGTCATATTAAACACGTTGAGAAAGTAAGGGTGTTGGTCATTAAATCGACCACACTCCGAAAATTTGTGTGATAATTAAATATGATGAAATAATTGAAAGTTGTAAGAACGCGGATCTTCAAACACGCAACGAGATCAACAATTTGAAACGTACTACACATGTTATGAAACAATAAATAACAACGACGGAAACAATATAGAAAAAGTCCGACCCTACGCCGATTGTGATAATAAAAGTATAATTTGACTACGCACAATAAGGCCACGGTGTACGGACCAATCAAACTTAACAATAGCCGTTGACATAAGAACCCAAAGCTATTTAGCGGAAAGAAACTTAAAAAATAGCATCTGAAAAAAATTAACAAAGGGTGGAACGTGCTTCGGTCAGTGCGCACGGGCATCCGGCTATGACAGCCGATATTACGGTATTTATTCTTTAAATACAACAAAAAGAGTGTACTGACAGAATGATTTCACAACGAAAATTTTCCTGTCAATTATTCGCTGGTTTCGTATTGCTCGTAGTTTTATTTGCAATTTCTCTTAAATTAAAATTTTAATTTCTGGCTGTTTAAGGTCTTTCTTGATTTTTGATTAATTCGATCATAGGTTCATGTTGAAATAAATATTAAGATCATCAGAGTATAAATACTAGCTGTATCCCGCGGGTTCGCCCGCGTGAATCAGCATATATATCTTTTATACTATGACAGTATATAAATAAACCTATTCGTGTATCAAAATTTCATTCAAATCCGTTTAATATATAATAGGTTAAAGAGTCACAAACTTTCGCGTTCGCAATAAATAATAGTATTTAAAATGTCTTATAATATTAGTATTTGATCGTACCGAAATCGGTCCAATAAATGGTGCTTAACATTTCGTTTGTTATAAATCCTACCATAAAGTCCAAAAAAACGGTATCTTAATATTTTTAAACTGGGTGTATTATGTAATATGAAATGTAAAATGATCCGCCATTTATTGAATTCATTTGTTACAAAAAATGTAATAAATGAAAAAACTGCTGGACCAATTTTGTGCAAACTTCACATAAACCATCTTCTAAATAGTACAAACAAAGCCGCAACATTTGGTTTGGATAGGTGAGCCAGTTCTTGAGTTATAAAATTACAACGAAAAGTGGCATTAATTTTTATATGTATAGATTGATAGGAATGCAGCATGCAGCTCATAATAGTTTTGATACTTTAGGTATGTGAATATAAGAGGTATCTACGATAATGGTTACATTTATTTCTTATATAAAATTCAATTCAATAAATAATCGTGGTATGAACCCATCAGTTATACGTTATTAATATTGAAAAGATCCAAACATTCAGCTCTAAAAGTAAGAATAAATCGACGAATAGAAGATGTATATAAGTAGATATTAATGAAACTCCTTAACTTATCTTAATGTCATTAATCGATACCGACTAATAAATACAAAGCACTAAATTTTGAATAACTTAAGTTTTCAAGCCGTTAAATGTAATAAAAATAAAAGCTTGATGAAAGATGTAAGCACTTGTATACGCCATTGATCTGCTCCATCTGCATTTATAAAGTGAAATTTGTAGCTATATATTTAGTAATTTATGCTGTGTTGTTTTTCAAATTATGTGTAAAGTAAGTAGAAATATTCCCATGAGAATGAGAGCGTTCATAGTAAAATATGGAGATTGAACAGTGTGAGAACACATTAAAATTGAGGCATACATTTCTTGTTTCCAACCAAATTCTTAGATTATACGATGATTTCAAAACAAATGCTATAGCCTGCGTTGGCGTACATATTAAAAGTTAAACGGCTGATATGATGTGTAAATTACATATCAAACGTTTATTAATACTAAACCATAATAATATAGTAGATATTATGGTATGTTCACACGTGACTCAATGTTCATAATTACGGAATTTGTAGTAACTATCATTGTAGATAGACATTTTAATAGCATTCATAGGAATAGATTGGAAATAGGGAACCACAGGGGTCCAATCACAACATCAAAAACGATATTGTTGATACAATCTACGTATCTACATAGATTATGTCATTTGTCAATAACACGCGCGTGGTAGTTACCATTGAAGTACTTCATGTTAGTACTTTGACTATAGAAGAGTTATACAATAGTAAAATCAAATAGTCATTCCACAAGCTCATTGTCCGATTGACCAGGTAACTACATTTCTGTCAGCTGGCCTCATTGGAATCCACACAATACATTGCATCACAAACAGTAATAACACCATAGCGATGCTATCGGTTTAATGAATGACCTTGATGGTTCAATGATTTGAGAAATGCAATCAAAACATAACCTTCATTCAAAACATTTGATCGACATCCAACAATTGATCGTATTGAGTCTTATAAGAACTAACTTGTATTAATTAATGGGATAAAAAGACGAAGAATCTACAGTTATTAAATGGTTTTCTATTAAATCCTCGTGGTAATAAATTAAGAGTAATATGTGTCAGTACTCCTTTTCATCTTCAGGATGCCGTAAAATGCGATTAGAGGAACAAAATATGAGAAAAAAAAAGCATAACCTAACCAAATGGATCAAATACGATGTAATACGTGTAGTAGGATGAAATCTTCCTCTTAAGAAGAGAGATTAGTGTACAGAAACTAGGTATTAATGGGTTATTATGGATGGATATAAAGACTAAGAATAAAATCTGCAGGGTTCAGTAACCCTGTTTTGACAATTAGGAACAGAAATTAGTTTGAAAATTAGAACAGCTCACGAGAAATACCTGAAGTCTCGTTTTCCTGTACACTTTAATTAAAGCCATACTGTTAAAGACTGAAACATAAAAAGGTTATAAACGTGACTCCTGCGGTGCTTGATTAATTTTTAATTTCCTTCAGTGTAGTTACAGCTCAGCAGGTTGTCTAATTATATTGTGACATTAAAGTGGAGTCCAATAAGCGTCCCAATTTAGCAAAGATGTCTTGAAAATTAGGTTAATGTTATTTGAGTCATCGACAATATTTTTTCGGATATTATGTGAGACTAAACCATAAGTATATGGATTTTGGAATGCAACATTAGTATTTGCAGATATATGTTTATCTAAATGCTTATAAGTAAAATGAAAATAAATATATTATGTGTTAAATATCACGGGGTCTCGAGTCAAGGCTGATGTGTAGATGACATTTTCAATACGATTCATTTCGTGATATGCCGTCTTGAGAACGTGATAATGTGCATTTATTAGCATTGCTTTGGGGAGGGATGATCTGATCACTAGATAACAATATATTACATGCATATACATTTAAATATAATAAGCGTAAATAATAAAAAAAATGTTCTTTAAACTATAATATTCTTAACATGATTTCATATGATTGCTATGCAAGTTCTAATATTATAAATGAAGAAGTTTTCAGGGCACATAAAATTGTACATCGAGCCATTTTATTTTAAAATATATATTTATATAATTAAAATATTATATACATGCATCTATGTGGTTCTGGTATAAAATGGGCTCACTACTTTTTTCCCGTGGGTGTTGTAAGAACCGTCTAAGGGAACTTAAGGTTGAGGAATGGGCACCAGCTTCCCTCTTAAAACATCACTAAAGTCTAACTTCGGTTGCCAAACTACCTGACAAGCGTGGCAATTACTGGTACAGTCCCCCAATAGAGGGAGGTCTATATTCAGCAGTGGAGAGTTATTT